TTCTTAGTTCTGTAGGATACACACTGGATTCTTGAGTGCATTCTCCCCCTCTTCTGCTCTGCCTTTGTCGACCCCATGACCCCACCCCACCCCTTCGAGTACCCGTTTCTTGTTGTTTTCGTTTGCTGAACATTGATTTTTGCCTTTCTAAAGAGTTAGACTGTTTGAGATCTCCCTTGAATCTACTCTAGTTCCGTTAATGCGTTCATATGTACTTGCATACCATTCAGTGTCTTAGGAGTGTGTGAGCTAAATCTAGCTTCCACCTATAAGGGGAAACCTAGACCCTTCGTCTCTCCATATTAGGTTAAGCCCGTTACATTGTTCAGATTATTTTCCTCTTTTTTTTTAACATCCATGAGCTTCAGTCCCCCGAGAGATATAGACCAGTCCAGGAACAACTGAAATACTGCAATAGGAGCCCAGGGCTGCGATTGACGGAGGGAGGGGACAGAAGGGCCCCCAGCCCAGCCCTGCCTGAGCAGGTGAGGGCAGACTGCACATAAGGAATATGCAGGGGAGCCTTGGAGAGGCGAGGGAAGCGAGTCCCGGCTAGAAACCGCCTGTGCAGACGCTGCCCATCTGGGGGAGAGCTGCCAGGAGGGCCGGAGGAGGGGAATGGGTGGACTCTGCAGGAGGAACCAAGGCGGAATCCCCATGTCCGCTTAGGCCCGCCAGGTTCATCAATGAGACAGAGAACTGAGGAGAGACTGAGGCTCGAGGCCGGGAGGGAGAGGAGGGGTTTGCTTGGGGTGAGCTGCTTACCCCCTGATCTCTTCCTTGTCTCTCTGTAAAAGCTGCTGGATTCAGCCTGGCCTGTCATCCTCCCACTGGGCTGACGTCTCTGTCATTTATTCTATCACCACGGGCTGGTGGGACCATTGGAGGATTCAGATGCAAATTATTTGCAGTGAGAATTTTGAATCCCTTCACATAAATAATGGGAGAACATGTAAATTCAGTGTGGTCCAAGGTAGAAGTCATATTCATATCCTGTTTGGAACAAACTAGAGAATGTTTTTACCGGGCGGGCAGAGACAAAGGACTTGAGAAACAGGGAGCTGGTGTGTGTGCAGATGGCTCTGTTTGTAGTCATGGTTAGGCAAGGCCTTTGTTTTGCTTCTGATGATTCGTTTCCAGAAAAGCATTGCTTCTCCCGAGACCACTTTACAGGGCTAGAAAGGTTGCGAGACAGGCTGCCTGCTTCCGCAGCCACACAACGCATCCTCTGCCCGCTCAGGAGACTGGACTGTGAAGCCGGCACCGGAGGCTGAGATTGGAAGTAGCAGCCAAGAGGACACTGGCAACAGTGCTAGTTCCTTCTGTGAACTCTGACCCCGCTGGTGCCTGTGTGTCCCCAAAGACTTTCCTTTTATTGGCAAGGCTAATGACTTCTCTTTCTCTGATGCATACCTTATTTTAACTCCAGTCTGGGAGATTTCTTTCCATAACACATTAGCAGCCCAGAGCCCCTGGCAGAGGCCAGTGTGGAGACCCAGAGGAAGGAGAAGGAGCTTTAGAAGGAAGGCTCTTCGGCGTGTTTTCCCACAGAGGTGGCCGCTGCCGCTACCGTGTCTTCGCTTGCTGCAGAGTGAAGTCGGCCTTTTTGCTGGCTTTTCCTTCCCTGCTCACTGGAATAGATTTGGCTCTGCTTTGTTACTGCGATCAGGGTGATCAGGCGATCAGGGAGTGCTCATCACCGTGGCCCAAGCTGGCTGGCTTGAAAAGGCACAGTGCTGCGTGCCCCGCATTCATCCAGGCACCAGCTCAGGAGAGAGAGGGGCTGCTGTGTGCAGGGGGGGGCCCCAAAAAACAAAAAGAACCCCCCTTCCTCCCTCCTTCTCTCCCTCCCTCCTTCCTTCCTTCCCTCCCTTCCTCCCTCCTTTCCTTCTTCCCTCCCTCCCTCCCCCTCCCTCTCTTCCTTCCTTCCTTCCTCCCCCCTTCCTTTCTCCCTTCCTCTCTCCTCCCTTCTTCCCTTCCTTCCTTTCTTCCTCCCTCCCTCCTTTCCTCTCTCCCTCTCTTCCATCTTTATTCCCTCCCTCTCTTCCTTTCTTCCTCCCTCCCTTCCTCCCTCCCTTCCTTCCCTCCTTTCTCCCTTCCTTCTTCCCTTCCTTCCTTCCTTCCTTCCTTCTTTCCTTCCTTCCTCCCTTCCTTCTTCCTTCCTTCCTCCCTTCCTCTCTTCCTCCTTCCCTTTCTTCCTTTCTCCCTCCCTTCCTTTCTTCCTTCCTCTCTTCCTTCCTCCCTCTCTCCCTTCTTTCCTCCTACCCTCTCTCCCTTCTTTCCTTCCTTCCTTCCTTCTTTCCTTCTACCATCTCTTCCTCCTTTCCTCCCTCCCTTCCTTCCTTTTTCCCTCCCTCCCTTCCTTCTTCCCTCCCCCTTCCCTTCCTTCCTTCCTTCCTCCCTTCCTTCCTTCTTTCCTTCCTTCCTCCTTCCCTCCCTCCCTTCCTTTCTTCCTTCCTCCCTCTGTTCCTTCTTTCTTCCCTCCCTCCCTCAGCCTCATCTGTTTGGGCGGTTGGATGGCCAGGCTGTGGTTTTTCTTGACAGGAGACAGGTGTCCTCTGTCTGTCCGGAGTCCTCTGGGCCGGGGGACAGAGCTGAGGGCTCTGTGGCTCTGCTCACCCCTCCCCCCTTGTCTGACAGGAGCACTTGATTGAGAATGAGGTGTCCATCCTGCGCCGGGTGAAGCACCCCAACATCATCATGCTGGTGGAGGAGATGGAGACGGCGAGCGAGCTCTTCCTGGTGATGGAACTGGTCAAGGTGAGACGGAAGGTTTCCTTTGGGGCCAGATTCTAACACCTGAGACGTTGCTGAGGGAATACGCTCCGCCTTCCAGAAGCTTTCATTACGTAGAAGCCTGAAGATAAGGGTCTCACAGACTTTCCTGCCCGGGGTCGGGTTTGAACCTTGATTCTCAGATTGCAGCCTCCTGAGTGTGCTGGGATTATATGCATGAGCTTCCCAGCTAAGCATAAATGTGACACTTGATGCTTGTAGACAGGGGGGGGGGCTTTTTGCTGATGGAATATGTGCACGCTGCACGCCCCGCCTGCACAGGGCCGCGCTGCTGATGTTCTGGCATATTCTCTAGGGCGGAGACCTCTTTGATGCCATCACTTCTTCCACCAAGTACACCGAGAGAGACGGCAGCGCCATGGTGTACAACCTGGCCAGCGCCCTCAGGTACCTGCACGGCCTCAGCATCGTGCACCGGGACATCAAGCCGGAGAACCTCCTGGTGCGTTCCACGCCTCCGCCCTCCCTCTTCCAGCTCCTGTCTTTGTTCCTGTAAAGTGGTTGTAGCACTGAGTTATTTACTTGGCTCGATTCCTCCTTGCGTTTCTGAGCACCCCAGAGGTCAAGCGCCTCAATGGTCTTTCTGACTCCAGTACCTTGGACAGTGCCAAGAAAGTCCAAGGCAGAAGCGCTCATTCCTTATCTGTTGCCGATGCCCGGTGCCCGGTGCCCGGTGCCCGATGCCCGGTGCCCGGTGCCCGATGCCGAGCAGCTCTCCACGGGCAGCCGGCACGGGACGCATGCAGTGAATGGTTAACAGGTCACAGAATACTTACACATTTTAATGACTCTTCTTCCCTCCCTTCCTCCTTTTTCCCCTTTTTCCATAATACCATCCAATCAACCATCTCTTCTTATTCCTGTGGAAGCACATGGAATCACAGCTCTGACTGTTTTCCACCTGGAAGGTGTTGTCTAGATCATCCCGTACCAACACAAAAGCTGAAATACCCTGAAAGTGGCGACTTTCAAAGTCAGTGGTGCGCATTTGTGACTGTGAGTGTGGCTCATTCTGGACCACGCGGTGAGGCCCTGCCTCCCAACAACACCTTTCTGAGCACCAACATGTCACCGCAGGCGGAAAATTCCACCTGTGAAACCTTCATTTCATGCACAAAATTACTTAAAATGCTATGCCCAGTTACCTTTATAGGTAGCGTGTATGTGCGGGAAGCTCTTAGCTCTGTACATCATTTCAAGTTTTATTCTCCACCCCCACACGCACACTACTGGAGCTTAAACGTAGGGCCCTGTGCCATCTCTTAGCTTTGGCATGCTACCATTTGAGCCACACCTCCAGTCTAGCATTTTGCCGGTTAATTGGAGAGGGAGGCTTATCAGGCTTTCTTCTTGGCTAGCTTTGAACTTAGGTCCTCCAGGTCTCAGCCCTTTGAACAGCTAGAATCACAGGTATAAGCAACCACCAATGCCTGGCTCCAAGCACTTTGGTGTGTGTGTGTGTGTGTGTGTGTGTGTCTGTCTGTCTGTCCGTCCGTCGTGGGCTTGAACTCTGGGCCTAGGCGCTGTCCCTCAGCTCTTCAGCTCAAGGTGAGTGCTCTACTTGAGCCACAGCGCCACTTCTGGCTTTTTTCTTCTTATGTGGTGCTGAGGAATTGAACCCAGGGCCTCATGCATGCAAGGCAAGCGCTCTACCACTGAGCCACCTTCCCAGCCCTCCAAGCATTGTCTGTCACTGTGCTGCCCAGGCTGGTCTTGGATTCTTGGACTTCGAGGTTGCTCCTGTCTCATCCTCTCGGCTAGCTAGGACTGCAGATACTCAGCGCCACCCTGCCTGGCTGGACCCGCACACGTGTGTGGGGTGCTGGAGATGGAACTTAGGGCACCCCACATTCGGCAAACGTTTACTGTATGACTGAGTGGCACCCCTGGTTCCCAGACCAGGGCTACTCCGCTGTGCTTTATGTCTAGGTCTTTCTATGGAGCGAGGGAAATCCTTGGTCTGAAATAAATAGATAAGTGTATTATGGTTTTGTGAACTCCAAGGAGAAATGGAGTAAGCCAATCCTCGGGATGGTGCCAGTGAGGTCCTAGGGCTCCAGATTCACCACCATGACTTTGTTGGGACTTCCCCTCCTGCACCCTCTCTGAGCCAATGGGTGAGAGTGATAGTGCTCCCCCCCCTACTCCTACCTCCCCCCCCCCACCATGAGGCCCAACATAAGTAAATCAAGTCAAAAGCCATTTTTTTCTCTTTTATTTTCTTGCTGGGGATTGAGCTCCCGGCCTTTACATGGGAGGAAATTTATTTCTCTGCCACCGAGTTAGACCCAGTTGTGAAGTTCCTCAAAATAATGCCACGCGTGTCTCTGTGTCTGTCTAGATGCGCACTCCATATTTAATTCTTCCAGCCTTGTAGACCATCTCCACCTAAGACTTGGGGCGTTCTCTTCTCTTACTCGTTATCTGTGTGTGTCGCACTGGGGAGTGATGAATCAGATCAAATAGTAGTATCTCAGGGGTGTCTTTCCCGGTGACATTCTCCTGAAATGTTTTGCTGAGGAGGACAGCTTGCCCAGACATAATTCAGTGACTACACACCGCTCTCTCTCTCTATTTATGCTCCCGACTTGGAATTCTTTGGGGGGATGTAAGAAACAGGACGTGGGGATCTTCTGAGATTGAACAACATGCCTTAAACATGTCCAAACTGACTGTTTAAAAGAAACACTATTTTTCAAAAGTACTACCTAATGGGTGTATTTTTAAGACATAAAAACAAAGTAACAGTGACATTAATAAGACTTTTTTTTTTGACTCATGATACAGGCATTTAGGAACTTGTGCTGATTATGTTCTTATCACCGCAATGACTTAGAACATTTCTTTCTAATGTCTGGGTTTCAGTGAGTCCATGAGAAATCCTAATTATAACTCTAATCATTTTTGTTAATGTTCATATTAACTGTGACAGATCAGGGCTTGGGGGCATGGCTGGAGTGATAGATTGCTTGTCTCACCCTGAGTTCAAGTCCCCATACTTCAAAAAGAACCAAAGCCAAACAAAGCCTGAAGCCTGGTTCCAATATGTGTAATGGTGGAAAGTCTTCAGAACTGGCATGGCTCAGAATCAAGATGTGAGACTTCAGACTAAACCATTCATGTCTTTGAATGTGTTTGTGCAGGGACTCAGAATCAGAAGGAATTAGATCAGAATTAGAAGGAACCGAGAAGGACTCACAGTCTTCACCCTTATTCCCATGTAACCAACGGTGAACATGAACAGTGTTCTCAGCTCAGACCTGGGATGTGTCTCAGCCCCCACCCCCTTTCCACGTCTGCAGAGCTCCATCAGCATTGGTGTGGATTGCTCGGGCGGTAGTGAAGGTTTCATTGATAACTAAATAAATCATGGCGTCACTGTGTAGTGGACTAAGGAATGACATCAGAAACGGCTCCTCCTGAGGAAACATTTTCTCAGGTTTTTTTCTTCTTTAGTCGGCAGTAGTTGAGATAAAATTCAGTCTGTAGCAAAATATGAGGGAAAGCAAACCAAAGATGTTTCAGATGCCAACTGGAGACCTCTGCTAGACATTCGTTCTCTGCCGTGGTTTTTTCTCCCCTCTGAAGTTGATTATTTTTAAAACAAGAAGACGAGGAAGACTAACCAGAAAGTTAGCAGGAATGAGATCCTGGCTTCAAACTTCAGTAGCACACACACACACACACGCACGCACATGCACACACACACACGCACGCACATGCACACACACACACACACACAATTTAATTTTTATATTTCATCATTGATAGTTCAGAATACAAGGCCACCCACCTCCACCCCAAATGTTGTCTTCCAAAGTGAGCACACACTTACCATGGAGGAGGCCCAGTGCTTGGCTGCGTGGTTACTCATCAGCACTCTTTCTTGGTCTGTCCAGTGCGTGGCACACAGTCGGGTCAGCTTTCGGGCATTTCTCAAGCCTGGGTATGTGAGCACACCCCAGAGTTGTTAGCTTCCCAGGGACGGTACTTCCTGCAGGCCCCAAATAATGGCTTCCAAATTCCACAAAAGCCTGCCAACTCTCTGAAGAGAAGAAGTAAACACTATGGAGAAACCAAGCTAAGGGGCGATGCTCCTGGAGGGAGAGGTTTCCTTTGAGTTGATGAGAAACGGGCCTGTGTCTGCCCTGCCCTGGCTCCCTGTGGCGGAGGAGGAGGAGGAGGAGGAGGAGGAGGCGTCTGATGGTGTGCTGTGTTCTGTTGCAGGTGTGTGAATACCCGGATGGGACCAAGTCGCTGAAGCTGGGCGACTTCGGGCTGGCCACCGTCGTGGAAGGCCCCTTGTACACCGTCTGCGGCACGCCCACCTATGTGGCCCCCGAAATCATCGCTGAAACCGGGTGAGGCTTGGGCGGTGGGGGCTGGCGTGGGAAGAGTGGCTTCTGTGCGAAGAAAGCCAGGCAGAGAGGGGTGGAGCCTGCAGTCTGGCCTCAGGCTGAAGAGCTGTCCTGTACGATTCCCTGGCCAAGAGCCCCGGGCTGGAACTTTAGAGCCAAGACCAGTGTCAAGCATTGGCCCTTTCACAGGGCGCTGGAGGCTCACACCTGTCATCCTACTACTCAAGAGGCTGAGATCTGAGGATCGCAGTTCAAAGCCCGGAAAGTCCCCGAGACTCCAATTAACCACCAGAAAACCAGAAGTGGCGCTGTGACTCAAAGCGGTAGAGGGCTAGCCTTGAGCAAAACAGAGCTCAGGGACAGCGCCCAGGCCCTGAGTTCAAACTCTGCGACCCACAGAAGAAGGGGAAAAAGTGGATTGGCACTTTTGCAGGAAGGGTAGGCCAGGACAGCCACTGTATTCAAAATACACTGTGTAGAAAAGGAACTGCATAACTGGTAGGTGGGGAAAGGAAGGGAAAAGCAAAGGAAGGGGTGCACAGGCCTGTGGAGCGTTGTACTCTTAACCTCACATTTGAAATTGCAAACCCTCCGAGCAACTCCTTATTAATAATGATAAAAACGAATGTGTGCGCTTGTGTACACACACACACACACACACACACACAGGGATTGGTACTTTCTAACTGATCAAGATTGTGATTAGGTTAAGAAGAAAAGCAGAGGGCTTGTCTACAGGGTAATGCATTCATTCCTGGGGGTAAACGGGAGTATGATCTCTCCGTGACCCAGAATCAAGGGCGGTTCCGGGGAGTCCTGCCATGCCCCTCCTTGTCTTGCAGCTATGGCCTGAAGGTGGACGTGTGGGCGGCGGGCGTGATCACGTACATCCTCCTGTGTGGATTTCCGCCGTTCCGCAGGTCAGTGCACGCGTGTGAGCAATCGCACACCTACAAACCAGTGTTCACTCATGGCAGAAACTGGCTGGCTGGTTAAAATTGATAAAAAATTTTTTAAATGGAAAGCTTCTCTTTTTAAAAGTCATCGGTGTTTCAATTAAGTGTAAAGGGGTTTTGTTGATAATTGCCAAAAAGCAGAATGACGCAGACACGCCGCTGTCTGTGTTTGCGGTCCTTCGGGCGTGGAGACAGACATTCGTGGTGAGAACGCGTAGTTCTGAGGGCATGTGCGGTTGAACCCACCCAAGGTTTCATGAAAGTCAGAGCATTGGTGACACTGGGGCTTCAACTCGGGGCCTCACAATTGCCAGGAAAGTGCTTTATTACTTAACCAAGCCTACAGTAGCCCCTGTATTTTTTGTTGTTGTTTGTCAATTGTGGGCTTTGAACTCTGGGCCTGGGCGCTGTCCCTCAGCTATTCAGCTCAAGGCTAGCGCTCTACCACTTGAGCTACAGTGGCACTTCCGGCTTTTTTCTTATGTGGTGCTGAGGAATCGAACCCAGGGCCTCAGGCATGCAAGGCTAGCACTCTACCACTTGAGCCACAGCGCCACTTCCAGCTTTTTCTGCTTATGTGTTGCTGAGGAATCGAACCCAGGGCCTCATGCATGCAAGGCTAGCACTCTACCACTTGAGCCACCTTCCCAGTCCTAGCCCCCTGTTTTTGTTTTAAATCCTTTTTCCCCCCAGATAAAATGTCTCACATTCTCACCCTGGGGATCCTCAGACTGTGATCCTCTTATCCACGCCCAGACTGTGTGCTGAGTTGGGATCTCACTAACTTTTTACCCAGGATGGTGTCAGTCAGCCTGATCTCTGCCTCCCGCACACCTGGTGTGCGCCTCTGCCCCCTCCCCCGCCCCCAGCCCCGTGAGTGTGGAATTGTGTGTGGAGGGAGAGCTCTGTCATCCAGCTGCCAGCTCCTGATCTTCCTTCTAGGTGGGAATAAATAACTCAGTGGCCCCATCAGGACTTTCTTCTGGACGGACTCACCAGGGGCTTGGTGGTCTAGCCTGTCTTCTCATGTAGTTGACTCCCTGTCAGCTGGGACAGCAGGAGTAACTTGGCCAGGTGTCTTTTCCTCTCCGAGGGGCTAGCCTGGACTGTGCACGGCGGTCGGTGTTGCTGGAGAGCGCGTTCCCATGCCAGTCACTGGGTCTGGTCTCACACTTGGGGACGCCCCATTGGCTAACTCACGCTTCACAGCTGAGCCTAGAGCCCAGCACACGAGGGGTTGATGAACAGGTCCTCACAGGGAGAGACAGCATTCGTGGTCACGTCACAGTCACACTGCGACCTGGCTGGTTTTGGCAATGACATGTTGGGAACGCTAGTCAAGTGTAGAAAGGAGGTATGTTTAGAGAGCAAGGGACCCTGGGGCCTGGTCCATGGAGTCCCCCTCCCGTGGAGAGAGAGCTCCCAGGAAAGGGTCCTGAGGACCAGCGTGAGGGGAACGTGTGCTCACCACGCCCTCTAGTGTTTCTCTGTATCAGTGCAGTCAGGGAGGAAGGCGATCTTTTATGTCTGGTGGTGGTGGTGTGTGTGTGTGTGTGTGTGTGTGTGTGTGTTGTTGTTGTTGTTGTTGTTTTGTTGTTGTTGTTGTTTGGTGATTTGTGTTCTGAGGGCATTTTATTTTTTTAACAAAAGAAAGCCAGATTCTTGTATGTATTATGGGCTGTTACTGAGCCAGGGCCGCCTCTGGCAGGGTCTCTAGAGAAGGGGCCGTCTGATCAGGGGCCGTCCAGCCACGTTCTGAGAGCACCGCGGGTCACGAAACCGCAGCCAGCTTGCGTTGAAGGCGGAAGGAAATGTGCAGAAGAGATTCTGTGGTGCTGAGCTATGGAGCCTGTGTCTCTCAGCACAGGGGCATTCAGGGTAGACTTCACAAGCTACATAACATAAAAATGTATAAAGAACATGATAATTCAGTGACAAGTGATTATGGTATCCAGTGGATTATCTACATAAAATTTTACCTAAGGCCAAACAAATACTTCACAGCATTTTCTCTGTTTTATACAACAGACAACTTCAAATCAAAGCATTTGAACGGAAATTATTGGGAATTTCTAGTTCAGTGTCCCCTGGCTGTGCCATCTTATTCTTTCTTCTTTCTGGGTTTTGATGTTCTCCCTCCCTCCTCCTCCCTGCCTTCTCTCTCTCTCTCTCTCTCTCTGTTTTTCTCTTTGCCACATCACATTAATTTTCACTCAGGTGGTGATTTGGTTTCCAGAGGTGCCCTAAATTTTTGTTGTTGCCAAAGCAAGTCTATTCTTACAGTGTCTTGATGTTCCTGCACACACACACACACACACACACACACACACACACACACACTCATGGGCACACGGGCACAGGGAAGTATTTGAACAGCCTTTCTGAAGTAGATGCTGACAGTGTCAGGCTACCATTTCTGACCTGAAAGTCAGAAGGTAGTCTGACACTGAAAGAGACTTGGCCTGACTCCTTTATTGTTGGAGGATTTTCTGCAGGGCTTGTTTTCGATGTGATCCAAAGATTGTTTGGCTGGGCACCCATGGTGCATACCTGTAATCCTAGCTACTCAAGATCTGTGATCTGTGATCGTGATCAAAGCCAGCCCAAGCAGGAAAGTCTGTGAGACTCTTGCCCCCGATGAACTACTCAGAAAAAGCCGAAGTGGTGCTGTGTGACTGAAAATAGTAGAGCATTAGCCTTGCACGCAAAGAGGCTCAGGGACAGCGCCCAGATAAACAAAACCAAAAATGAATCAAGGACTGTTTTGTTTTCCAAAGAAGCGCTCTGGAGGAGAGCAGCCTGGTGCCGGCTGTGCCTGCCACGGTGGGGATTCGATCCCGTGGCTTTCCTTCCTTGACTATGGGGAAGGATGTATTAGCGTTAGCTCCCGGCTCTTCTAGTAGCGTCCTGGCTTTGGTAATTCACACTATTGATCTTCTGGGGTGCCATCCTAATTGCTGAGCGCCCCCCCCATCTTGTTTGTTGACTAGGCCTGGATTGCTAAGAGTACCCCACCCCCCCACCCCCGGAAGCTGCTGTAAATGGCTGCTGCACTTAGACTTGAGCTTTTAATGATTTATTGACAAAATCAAACTACACAGATTCACAAGAGATCTGGGATGGGGGGGGGATGGGAAGAAATGAATAGCACAGTCAGGAGGGTGGGTGAAGGGACGATTCTGGAAATAGGTAATATTTTCTCTTTCTTCGGACACGGTCTGCCATTCCCTGGTTTTCTAAAGGTTTCTGTAACATCTCTTGTGTCCGGAAGTATGTTCCATGCTTGTTTTGAGTGGAGCTCAATCCACAGGGACACGGGAGGCAGGGAAAGAAAACATCTGGCCACATAGAAAGAAAATCTTTGCACCCAACGGAAATCCCTTCCCCGAGGGTAGCGGAGGCCTGACCTGGCTCTTTTCTCTCCTTGCCCTTGTTTCTCACCCTGCCCAGGCCTTGCGCAGTGCTGTCCGCTGGTCTGGGTTAAAAGCCATAGATACCAACTGCTCGCCAACTCTCCTCTGTGTGTGTGTGTGTGTGTGTGCGAGAGAGAGAGAGAGAGAGAGAGAGAGAGAGAGCACTTGAACTCGGGGCCTGGGTGCTGCCTTTAGTTCCCCCCCCCCTCGCTCTAATCTGGAGTTCTACCACTTGAGCCACAGCTCTAGGTTGTTTTGGTTGTAATGAGAGCTTAGAGTCTCACAGACTTTCGTGCCCAGGCTGTCTTTGAACCGCAATCCTCAGATCGCCCCTTCCTGGGTAGCTAGGACAAGCGTGAGCCACCAGCACCTGACTAATCGTAGGACAAAACCAAGCTGCTGTTCACATTGCTCGAGACCTGGCTGTGCAGGATCTGTTTCTAGAGACAGGCTTCACGTGTCATGTTTTGGGGGACGGTGGGGAGTTACGAACACTCCGAAGGCTCAAGAAATTGGCCACACTTGACAGGCAGTCTCGGGCCTCCGTGCTGGATTTGGATCTTGATCGCACCTGTTCCAGAATGTTCCATGCCTTCACCCTCACAGCCGCAGCCTCTGCCCTGGGGGTGCGTGGATCTTTTCCAGGGGGGCTTCAGGTTTCTCTGATGCCTTCTACCCAAAGTGTCTTTTCCTGTCCAGGCTCTATGTAGGGTGTAGCGGTGAGGCGGGGGGGAGGGGTCCACCGAGGAGCCAGGGCTGCGGGGGGGGGGGTCCGGCTGGCATCTTGTGGGCTCTCTCTCCTCCACACTAAGCGCAGGTGATGAGCAGTTCTAGCTTTTTCCAGGTTCCACACACACTCTCCCTTTCCCACAGACTTGGCGCTTCTGTTCTGCTCTTTGCCATGTTTTGACTTTGGTTTTTTAAAGTTTAAACTCAAAGTTAACATGCAAGCCAAGAGCCAGTGGCTCACACCTGTCATCCTAGCTACTCAGGAGGCTGAGATCGGAGGATCGCAGTTCAAAGCCAGCCTGGGCAGGAAAGTCCGTGAGACTCTTATCTCCAATGCACTACTTCCCATAAAAGCTGAAGATAAAGCTGTGGCTCAAGTGGTAGAACACCAGCCTGGAGCAAAAATAGAAGCTCAGGGGTAGTGCCTGGTCCCTGAGTTTAAGACCCAGGATCACCTGTGTACACACACACACACACAGACACACACACAGACACACACACACACACACACACACACACCAGCATGCGTTAGTGGAGGAGGGAGTTTGTTGTGACATGTCCACACATACATCATGTATTCCAGCCCCTCCCCCTCCCCCTCCCTTACTCTCTCTTCTCTCCAAACCATTCCACAGATTGCATCAAACAACTTTGACCACATCCCACTCACCACTTGCTCCTGTCAGCGCCCCCTTTCCCTCCCCGCCCCCCCCATGCTACCTGTGATTTTGGCTGTTTCATTGGAAGTGTGAAGAAGGGAAAGTCAAGTCGCTTTGACTCAGATCTGTTACTTTTCAAGTCTCATTACCGTGAGAGAGAACTGAGGGCAGATGCTAAAAATGTTTCCCCCCAAAATGAAGATTTCCGTTATTTATAGATTTCTCGTTTTCACCCTCAAGTCTGTCTGTCTTGTGGTCAATATCCATGACATGGAATTCACCATCCTAACCAGTCCCCTGACTCCCGTGTGGAGTCCAGTGAGCCCAGCCCAGTCCTCCTGGGCTCAGGTGATCTTCCCATTGCAACCTTCCAAATAGCCAGGACTACAGATGTGTGCCACTATGCCCAACTTTCATATTAACTGTTTCTTTGGGCTAATACCTAAGAGGAAACATGTGTTCCCCTACATGCAGTTATTGTATGGTGTTGTACACCCAAAGAGACTGACCCCTTGCCGTCCTTCCCGGGGGAGTGTGTGGTGACGTGGACTTCTCTTCCGTTTCTCTGTCCCTCACACAGTGAGAGCAATCTCCAGGAAGACCTGTTTGAGCAGATTCTGGCCGGGAAGCTTGAGTTTCCAGCCCCCTACTGGGATAACATCACTGACTCTGCCAAGGTAATGGGCTAGCCTGTGACCTGGGGTTGTGTTCCATTGCAACCAACCCCGCTTCCCTAGTCTCTGAGTTCTTGGTTTATTCACGGCTCGTTTGTTAGGCGGCCGTCAGAATATGAGAAGGAGCTGTGAGAACCCCATGAAATGTTGGTACTGACCCAGAAGTGTCAGGGTTCACGTCCCTTTGGGGGGGTGCATGGGCGCCTTCTGTGCTCTTGTATTGCTGCTGTGGCAATGAAAGCCTCGTCTGTGGAAGTTTCTGGAAGGTCCTGGGCTGCGGGCGGTGCTGTCTGGCTCCGAACACTGGACACGACGTCGCGTTGCATGTGTCTGCTGACACACGCCGCGCTTGTGTGCGGTGTCCGCTTCTTCTGCAGGAGCTGATCACTCACATGCTGCAGGTAGACGTGGACGCGCGGTGCACGGCGGGGCAGATCCTCAGCCACCCCTGGGTGTCAGTAAGTACCCCTCCCCCCCGCCCCCCGGGCCGGACGCCCACGGGACAGGGGCCTCCTCGCCGTGTCCTCGGCCCTGGCCAAGTTGTGCATTCAAGTTCAGAGGCAGACAGGATGTCTGTCCCCCCCAGGGTGCAGCCGGCCCAAGGGGAGCCCCTGGGAGGAGGCAGCAGGCTCCAGGGTCCCCGACTTTTCCAGCCTGCTCTGTGAGTAACCTGGGCAGGTCCCCAGCCCTTTCTGGGCCTCAGTTTCCTCATCTGCTTTTTTTGGGGGGGGGCATCAGTGGTGGGGCCTGAACTCTGGGCCTGGGCGCTGTCCCTCAGCTCCTCAGCTCAAGGCCAGCGCTCTACCACTTGAGCTACAGCACCACTTCTGGTTTTCTAGTGGTTTATTAGAGATAAGAGTCTCACGGACTTTCCTGCGCAGGCTGGCTTTGAACCTCCATCCTCACAGCTCAGCCTCCTGAGTAGCTAGGATGACAGGCGTGAGCCACCAGCACTGAGCTACGATACTCTTTTAAGAGACTCGGTGTCTCACGTTCTGTAGCTCATGGGTGAGTCACCCGGGCTGTCGGATGGAGACGCGTCCCTCCCATCCCTCCCTGCGTCCCTTCAGTGGGGGGCTGTGGTGGCGCCCTGGGCGTAGGAGAGACACGGGGGACCAAATGGCCATGGCTGGGGAGTTTGTGCCCCCTCGTTTCCAGGAGTTCAATTCCTTCACCCGGGGCTTGGGCTCCCGGGGGCTCCGGGCTTTCTTTCCCTCCTGGCCATGGCTTCCCCGCGCTGAATCACTGGGCTTTTGCACCAAATGCCATAAAGAACAACAACTAAACGAATTCACTCTTTTTCTTGCCTCGGTGCCAGTGATGGAACCCGGGGCCTGACGGAGCCTGGCGTGCTCGGCCCTCAGCTCCACTCTAGACCTCGTTTTTTAAGCAATATTACCCAGGCTGTCCTTGAAAGCCTAAGCTCAAGCGATCTTCCTACCTCAGCTCCTGAGGTGCTGGTACTACAGGTGTTCATGAATGCACTGGGCATGAATTCTTTATTAAAATTATGAGTGGCCAACCCGTTTTTATGTTTCCATGGGACTGTTTTTGTGCTAAAGTAGGTGCCTTGGTGAGGACCTCAGATGGGAGCCAAACAATCCTGTCTTCCTCTGTGCTTCTGGAGACTTCTATTCCCCTCCTTGTCTAGTCCTGAAGAGTGGAGTGAGTGGTCCAGGGTCTTTCTGGGATGTGGCACTGCTGAATAACTCTGTGTGTGTGTGTGTGTGTGTGTGTGTGTGTGTGTAAGTGCTGTCTCCCCAGACACGCTCTGCAGACCCAACCATTACATTTTTTTTTCTTTTGTTGTCAGTCGTGGGGCTTGAACTCAGAGCCTGGGCGCTGTTCCCGAGCTTCTTTTGGCCAAGGCTAGCCCTCTACCACTTGAGCCACAGCACCACTTCTGGTTTTCTGGTGGTAAATGCCAGCCCCAGGTGGCTTTGAACCGTGGCCTTCAGCTCTCTGCCTCCTGAGTAGCTAGGGTTACAGCGTGAGCCACCTGACGCCCATTACTTTTGAAAGATCATTGTTCCCTTAGTTCTATGGCCAGGATGGTCTGTTTAGGAAGGGGTCAGGAGGTCGGGGGTTGGGGGGGACTTGGAAAAAAAATTCGTCCAATGTAGGGATCGGAGCTCACTCGGTTCGCTTCTTTTCTCCCCGGCAGGATGACGTCTCCCAGGAGAGTAACATGCAGGCTGAGGTGACAGGTAAACTCAAACAGCACTTTAATAATGCGCTCCCCAAACAGAACAGCACCACCACCGGGGTGTCCGTGATCATGGTGAGTGGGGCGTGGGGTTCTGCCGTGGGGAGCCCAGCCACTGGCCTGTCGGAGGTAGCGACCCCGGGGGCCCCCGCGTGGACGCTGTGCCTCCCGTGCTCCCCACTTTGTAGGCCCACGAGGGGCCCCGGGCGTCTCTAATCCAGGGCTGAGGCCTTGTGGATTCTGTGGGAGGGCAGACAGTAAAGGGCGGGGCCGTGCGCCCGGCCCCTCCCGCCCCCTCCTCCCATGCGCCCCCCTCGCTCTAGACAAAGCCAGGTGCAGACTGGGTCTGGGGACACCCCCTCTGGGAGATTTCGGGGTGATCACACAGCAAACACAGGAAGGCCTGGAATTCTAGGGTAGCCGTGGCCTCATGCGCAGATGGCCTGAGCGGACCTGAGCTGTCACAAGAGCTGAATTTAAATACTGACAACAGAAGTACGTGGATGGAGCCCCGGGGCCATCTGCCTCCCCTGACAGCCGGGAAGGGTTAGAGCGTCAGGAACCGCCGTACCCAGGCTGGCACGCAGCTCACTGGCAAAGTAGAAGGCCCTGGGTGCAAACCCCAGCGTGCATGTGTGTGTGTGCGTGCACACGCACGCACACACACACACACACACACACCGTGTTCTGTGTGTAAAGCAAAACCTCCAGGAGAGGGTGGGAAGACCCCGAAGCAAGTTCCCTTGCTGTCTGTCGAGTAGCTCAGACTGGGAGGAAGCGCTCAGCCCGTGCCCAGCCCCTCGAAGCCTTTACTCCGTGACTCATTTGTGCGTCTTCTCTCCGGGTGGGGGTGGGGTGGGGGCAGAGGGCACAGGCGTGCGCCCACACTCCGCACCCAGCCTCAGCCCAATTCCATGCCCGCCGCACACTGCGGTGGGACTCGCCCCACGCGAGCAGCGTGCAGGTGGCGGCCTCCCATTGGCTGAGGGCCGGTCCCGCAGCCCAGCATCAGAGCCCGGGGCTTGGACGGGGCGTGTCTGGTCTTGGACGTCCAGGGTGGCTGGTGCAGTGTCGGCCGGCGTGTGTGCCCCATGGCTTCCCGATACCCCTCAGCAGGGTCGCGACGCTGCCCGCGTCCCTTCTGTGGCTGGTGCTGGTGTGGGGGAGATGCCAAGGTTGGGACCATCAGAGAAATCTGGTCTCTGCCAAGCCCTCATCTTGGCGGCACAGAAACTGGCCTGTGCCTTTGGCCAGAGCAAGGCGTGGGGACGTGGGCACAGACACCTGAGCCCTCTCCTCCACGACGACACGCCAGCCGTCCATCCCTGGCACCAGCCCTTAGCTTTTTCACTCAAGGCTGGTGCTCTGCTACTTGACTCACAGCTCAGTATCTGGCTTTGGGGTGGTTAGTGGGAGATCAGAGTCTCACAGACTTTCCTGCCCCAGCTGGCCTTCACTGGCGATCCTCAGATCGCAGCCTTCTAAATTGCTCAGATTACAGGCATGAGCCTTTACTAAGGAGCCAGGGCCTGGTCAGCCAGCCTAGGATAAGAAGAGGTGGCTGTGTTGGACAGGGCGTGGTTTCAGAGAGGCCAGTGGGTTTGGTGACCTCTGGGGAGAGGCGAGCCTGGGAAAGGGCTGCCCTGCCTTCTGCCAGCCTGAGAGGCCGGGCCGAGAAGGACAAGCCTTCCCTCCACTGAGTGCTGAGGGGAGGGGGGGAAGGGCCTCTCAGCTCCAGGGTGGGATGGGGCTGGGCTCTGCTCAGGGGGTGACCGGGGAGCCCCCTTTTTAAGGCAGACAAAAGTGTGTTGCGATTGTGTCGCTTCTGTTGACAGTAAGTGTGGTTTCTGTCCCCGCTTCTCTCGCCCTCCTGCCTGTCCCGCTGCCTGCATTGCTTCCCTGCCCTAGGTCCCGGGCCACGGTATGTACTAACTCACTGCTCTGCCTCGCCCCCTCTGTGCTCGTGGCGGGAAGAGAAAAGGAGAAATAACTGCCCAGAAGAGCATGCGCCGGCCCCCCTGGGGGGCTTGGTGAGGAGGTCCTGCGGGGTGTGGGAGGTCGATTTCTCCCAGCTCGTTGACATCGTCCTTGAACACACCAAATATCCTGAGCCTGGCCAAGGCCCGTGGAGAACACAGCCCCGAAGGCAGCCAGCCGAAAGGGCTCAGAAAGCGCCAGGCTTTCTGTGGTCAGTGTTTAAAAGGACAGGAAGACGCTGGGCGTGGTGACTCACACCTGTAATCCTAGCCACTTAGGAAGCTGAGATCTGAGGATTGTGGTTTGAAGCCAGCCTGGACAGGAAAGTCTGAACCACCCAAAAGCCAGAAGTAGCGCTGTGGTAGAGTGGTACAGTGCTCGCCTTGAGCACAGAAGCTCAGGGGCAGGGCCAGGCTCTGAGCTCTTGTCTCAGGACTAGCACCGAAAAGAACCTGGAGACGGATCTCACCAGGCCTCGTCATCACTGTTCTTTGAAGCTCCCTGTGCTGGGGCTGCCCACCTCTACCATGCTGCCAGGCAGGCAGCTTGCAAGCCAGCATGCATGCAAGGAGAAACCCAACTAAAACAGAAAGAGAGCAGGATGCTGGCTCCTCAGAGCCCGTTTCACACATGATCCAGCCTCTTGGGTTGTTAGGGGTATATTTTATTACCACTATTATTGTTATTTCTATAATACACTAATAACGTCTCCCTCGGTGACAGACTCTTCAGCCAGGCAGGTTTGCTGTTTGCCCCAGGTGTGTTCTGAGCCTGGGTGTGAGCAAGGTGCTGGGAATTCTGGTCACAAGCACATGGAGGGGGGGGGCTCCCCAAACCATCACCTGTCTGCAAGGTCTCCAGTGGGAGCTTGAGGTTATTTCTCCTCTTCTGTTCCTGAGCCTTGTGCATGCTCTGTGGTGCTTTCTGTGACCATCAGCGCTGGCCGGGCCGGGCTCACGCACGGCCTCCGCTGGTCTCTTCTAGAACACGGCTCTAGATAAGGAGGGCCAGATCTTCTGCAGCAAGCTTGGCCCCGACGGCAGCCGACCCGCCACCGCCACACCCGCGGAACAGATCTCACCAGCCCCCGCCTGGGCCGAGGAGCCCCCCGCAGCCCTTCGGGGTCCCCCCTCACCTCCTGGTCCTCCTGCAGCCCCCGGCTGCCCATCGCGGGCAGGGACTTGGCGCCGCCACCGAGACTGACCCGTGCAGAAGGCGCCACGCGGGGAAGGGAAGGCCACGGCGGCAGCTTCTCCCTCCGCTGGCACCGCTCGCTGGGCTCCCTGAGGCCACATCAGCGTGACGTGTGTCACAGCACCCGTGTCCAGCCGGAGGGCGTGTCTCCGCGTCACCCAGACAACACACAGCTCTTTTCCTGACTGTCACGGCCACGTCCGATGATCCAGGCTCCCCGGCCTCACAGTGGACGCGTGTCTGCCTCTGTCCCTTTGTGAACGTCCCCGTGCCAGGTGGCATGCCACCTTCCCCTGCAGGGGGCCACCAGCGGGGCCTGGGGTCCTGCAGGACACGAGCACCCCAGGGGGTCAGTGGCTCATGGCCATGGGTTGCAGACTTTCGAGAGGTGCTTGCAGCGGCTCGGGTGCTGGGCTCACCGACTTTGGCGGGGTATTTATTTGTACACGGGCCACAGAGGCCACTGCTTCCCGGGCCGCGTGGGGCAGCCCCATGCCGCTGGGCCAGGAACCGCTCCCCAGGGGCCCGCCGAGGTCCTGCGGGGACGGGCGGGCGGGAGGTGCTGCTCAGACACCCTGTGACCTTCTGGAAGGCTGCTGGCAGTTTTTCCTTTTCTGCATCGCCCAATCCTTTTTAATAATTGTACATAAGCCTCGTCTTGGCGGCACCTGCTCATCTTCGAAGCCGGTGAGCCCTCCTGTAGTTGCTTTTCGTTGTTAGATTTTTTTGCCTTCTACAAGTGTTCCACCCCCCCCCCGCCCCCCCTGCAATAAAACATTCCCTCTTCCGAAAAGCCATTGGGCCTGGGCAGAGGTTTCAGTGTGGTTGCTTTGCAGAGGCTGAGTGACCAGCTCAGGGGGTTGGGGGGGGGGGCCCTGGGGCCAAGCCGGGAAAGCACACACTGCTGTGTGTTTGACTTGTGATGGCAGGCAACAAAAACACCAAGCGTAACCCAGTTTCCCAGCAGAGGGAGCTCAGGAACTGACAGCAGGAAGATTGGGCCTTAGGGAACCAGGCTCAGGACAGCTGCTCTGTGTCTGCCTCCCTGTCCCCTCGCAGAGATTCTGCATCTGTCTGTCTGTCTTGTCTGTCTCCTCTCAGAGATTGTGTGTCCCCCCACCCCCACCCCCGGCCTCATAAGCTGCAGCCAGCCTGTGGCTCCCCTCACCCTGATCTTCCTCCGTCCCCAGCTTCTCTCAAGGGTTTTCACCTCTAGGACTTGAAAGCACGTGATCTGACTGATCACATGGCTGCCTGCAGCGGAGGGCCCTGAGCTCCGGCCCTCCGTGGGGTGTGGAGCCGGCCAGGCGGGCGGTTGGATCTTTATTCACTGTTTTAGGGTCTTTCCCTTCTTGGAAGTAGGATGTTTTGAAACTCGCGGGCCTCTTTGCTTCCCCTGCTGGAGGCTTGTGAGGTACAGAATTGGGCTCCACGCTGCGTCGGGGCTGGTCACAGCAGAGAACTGTGTGGCAGAACGAGCTAGCTGAGGCGCTGGCACCTTTGCTCATCGTCTGGCTTTTGCGGGTGGGAAAGGTGGCTGTGCTCATCCGGAAACGAGCTCTGGCCAGCGTGACGGCCCGGGAGGAGGCCGTGACCTAACTCCCACCAGGAGCTGTCACCCGACCCAGGGGTGGCCGGAAGGAAACGCACTCCCACCTCCTGGCCAGCCTGGGTGGCAGGGATGGAGGGCAGGCAGGGCTGGAAGGACCTGGAAGGCTCCAGAAACCACACGCGTTGAGCGGCATTGAAACAGGCCGGGGAAGCTCAGCCCCATGCCAGTCTTAACAGCTGCCTGCTGAGTAACTTGTTACCTGTGAACGGTGAAGTGTGGGTGCAGTCCAGCTGTACCCCAAGATCCTTGGCCAGGCCTTGTAGACCTTTTGTACTTGGCCACAGCCGCTTCCCTGCTCCTCTGACAGGCGTTGAGGTCCAGCCCCTCCTCCCCCCATGCAATCCGGGCCTGAGTGAGCAGCCACGGCGCGCCCACAGGGTGGACGGCCCTCTTCCTGTTTTGTTTGCCAAGTGGAACTGAAGTGCGAGGCTCCGTCAATAGGCAAAGTAGGTTGTTTGGGCTGATTTATAAAAAGACACTTGGCGTAGTCTGGGAATGAGGCCCATCCAGGAGCGTCCTGTCTACATTCGTATTTGCGTACGTCAAAATGACATTTCACTCTATCACCTCCGAAGCCGCCGGCCGTCTCCCAGGCATTTCCTAACTGTGGTATTTCCCAGTCACGAATGCAGACAGGATCGCGGTGCTTCCGTGAAGATGAACATATCAAGCAGGAATCCCCGGAATATCTTGAGACAATGCATATGAGGAGCCTCGAAGTTCCTGCACGGTTACCAACACTAGCCACCCCCCCCCTCCATTGGGGTTCACTCAGCCCCCAACTCCCACCCCTACCCTTGGACTTTTTCCTTGGTTTACATTAATTGGTTTACATTTTTAAGAAGCCTAATTCGATGAAACAGGCAACTGCTGAATTCACCCTGAAGAAATGCGCTTCGCTCAGCAGATCTTGGCGAGAGCCACTGATATTTTTGTGGGGTCCTTTTGTTCATTTTTCATCGTGGTAAGATCTAGAAGCAATAGCGGCATGCCATGACCTGTGCTCCAAGAGGTTGCATAGCCGCCGCTGTGCTCGGCTTCTGGGGTTTCTCCTAGGCTCTGCGGCTGTGAGGCCCAGCAGGCCTCCCGCTCACTCGGGAGCAGCTCAGGGAGCGGTGGCTTTAAGGCACGCATTCCCTCCTCACAGTTGACATCTCCTCTTTGTCTTCTGCACGGTTTATGATGCAATGATGGGTCTGGGGACATGTGACATAGCGTCTACTGCAGGTCATTGTGGCAGTCATGTGACAGGGAGACGGCTGGCCAAGGAAAGCATCCTGCTGTCAGTGGGGTCTCTCTGTCTGCCTCTCTTGCCCACCACTCTGTTTCTCGCTCTGTATACTGATCAAAAACTATGATTAAACCACAGCTTGGCATTTGACATTTGAGAATAACTTTTATCCTTGTGTAAAAATTATTTTTTTTTTGAGTCCAGTCATGGGGCCTGAACTCTGGGCCTGGGCGCTGTTCCTCAGCTCTTCAGCTCAAGGCTAGCGCTCTACCACTTGTGCCACAGCGCCACTTCCGGCTTTTTTCTTTTTGCTTATGTGGTGCTGAGGAATTGAACCCAGGGCCTCATGCATGCAAGGCAAGCGCTTTACCACTGAGCCACCTTCCCAGCCCCCTTGTGTAAAAATCATTAGTAAAAAAGATATTTCCAATAGTCCAATTACAAATTCCATTTTATTCACTTTTACTGTCAAACTAAATTATTCTTTCTAAATCTTTAGTTAGAAAACACCTGAATGTGTAGCGGGGAAGGCGAGCTGCACAGGAAACAGAATGTCAGCTGCCGCTTCAAGTTCACAACATACAAAGAGTTTATTTATGTAGTACAGACCTTGTCTCAGATATTTTTACAGAGTTCTCATGTTTTCATACAGCAATCTACTAGAAAAGTAGAATTATACAACACCAAAATAACATTGTTTCTTAGTACAAATTGCTAATCAAAAGGAAGGTGGAGACAGGTGAGTGGAAGATGATGGGTGTGGCCCCGCTGCCCCCCCCCCCCCGGGCTGGGGCAACCTCGGGCGGGCTTTGGGACTCGCATTTACTTTCAAAGGAAAACACACTCGAGCCCAAGGGGGTTCACTGCATCATCTCGTTGTGCCACCAGGAAGACAGATCGCAGGATCTTTTTGAGCAGGACAGGACAGGAACCACTTCACACTCGCCATTACAGAGACCCTTCACGCCTACCACACAGTAAAGTCAAATCGCCTCCCCCAAACCATAATTTTCTATGTCTAAAAACATGCTTGAAGAATAACTATATAGAAATTATTCGTTGAGATGTTTTTCAATTATATTTGCCATAATTTAAACATTACTATTAAAATCTCAGAAATTTCAGCACTGAAGAAGCACAATTGTTTGGGAAAATCCAGGACAGGAAGGAGAGCATACAGCTCCTCCACCAGCGCGCGCCCCGCCCCCACTCCAAAGCCATGGGTTCCTCCAGACTGCCGTGCGCGGGAATGGGGTTCTGTAATGTAGCTAGAACAAGTGGGCTTATTTCCCCACATATGTTTCCATAATTGGTGAAAATAGACTTCTCATTATGACTAAAAATATAGATTTTTTTTTAAACTACGAACCCGGCAGCCAGTATTCTGCTTTGCTATTTGTCCCTACCCCCACCCCAAAGTCAAGCAAAGTCTACAAAAATAGCAATTAACTTCAAAAAATATTTTGCTTCTTCAAGCAAATTTCGGTTACATTCAGTGGTGACAGCTATTTCTGCAGGGTCGCTGCTGGGCCGGGGCCGCGGCGGGCAGAGCCTGGGCACAGCGGCGCCCTCAGTAGCGGGTTTGGTATTCGTGATGCCATCGGTTGAAGTCGTTGTAGAACAGAACGATGCTTCCGGAAGCCATGCCTGCGATAACGCACCTGGGAGAAGCAGAAAGAGGGGCTCAGAGGTGTGCTCCTGCCTACAGACCCGTGATCTCTCTCTCCCTCCCCCCTCTCTTTCTCTGTCTCCCTCCCTCCCTCTCTATTTTTCTCTCCTCATAGCAGGGATTGAACTCAGGGCCTTGTGCTTGCTAAGCAAATGCTCAACCACGAAAGCCACACCTTTTGCTTTAATCCATTTTTCAGACTGGTCTCCTGCTTTTGCCCAGGCCAGTCTTAAGCCTCCTATAACTACCACCAGAACATCTGGGATTATAGGCATGCTCTACCATATCTATCCCAGTTCATATTTTGTTCACTGAAATGCATACCTGAGTAAGCTCAGAGCGCTGCCTCTGACATGCCAGAGCTCGTGCCCACACCCAGCTCACCCTTTTGTGGAGGGACAGGTACTGACAGGGCAGGTAAGATGCCACTAAAGCCTCAACAGACTCAGTGATTTCTACAGGGTTGGGCTGCTGAGACCTGTCTTTCATATGGGTATGAGGATCAAAGAGACAAAGCAATGTAGGAAATGATAAGTTAGGGAGATTTCACCTCTGACTGGTCCGGAAGCGATAAGTAAAAAGGACCAGGCATGGTGACTTACCCCTGTAATCTCAGGGAGGCAGAGATCATGATCTGAGGTGACCCTGGGTGGAAGGTTTCCAAGTTTCCCCCTCACCCTACCCCCCAACACACACACACACACACACACACACACACACACACACACACGGAGACATGCATCGGAGGATGGTGGGTCGGGGCGGCCCAGACAAAAACGTGAGAACCTATTTGAAAATCACAAGTAAGAAGGACTAAAGGTATGGCTCAAGTGGAAAAATACCTGCCTGCCCACACAAGGCCCTGGGTTCAAAGCCTGCGGACGGTGATTTGGGCTGGGCTCTCCTGGAGGTGAATATTCTGTCTGTCATGTTCTGGGCTGGAGCCTGACCCCACACTCCAGCCACTTCAGGCAGTGACCGCTAAGG